GTCTGTCGTAATATGCCAGGTGCCTGTTGAGTGAGGGGCGCAAAGGACATTGGATCGATCTCACTGATGGCATTTTCTTTCGAGATAGTGCTCACTTGTTTCTGCGATTTCTATTCACTTTTAGTAGACCTTTTGCAATGAGATCTTCCTCCTCTTCGCCTTCATCCTTCACCAGTTAAGACACAGTACTATTAACCTGAGGACCCCTATTTCGAACGTTGCATTTCAATTGCTCCCGCCTAAGCCTGAGTAGCACAGTACAGTCCCAACCCTCGTGCCCCCTTCGAGTTACGCCGTAGCCAGGTACCGAAAGGAGGCTATCTGTTATCTGTTCTGTTTTCATAGAAGCGTATTACCAGTTTCTAATAATAGTATAGTGCTCTTGAATCCCTTATACGATTTCTCGAGTTGGCTTCATCTGCATCGAGCAAGACCTTGTGTCACCATGGTTTCTTGTTTGGCGCCCTTGCAGTCCTTTTGTAGGTGGATCTGGTCCCATTTGTACTTCCGGCAACAGTTGCGGAATAAACATTCTTACCGGTCCCGACCTAAGGTTGTCACCTTGTCGTGGCGGTCGGGATTCTGTGCCGCAATGATCCTGTGGGCTATACTAGCTGGAACTCAGTTCCTGAAGATTCAACCATGCCAGGAAGCCCGATGAAGAACAGCGAGTCATCCTACTACGAGTAGTTGTATTACGGGACAGTCTGGAAGTAAATTCGTACTGTCCTGTGTGATAGGATCGTGAAGGTATTGAGGTGTTCCCCCCAGGCGACTAGCATGTCCATATTTATGGAAGCAGGGATGCTGCCTCCCTTCGAGAAAGGACGGGTTAGAAAGGGTCGGCCCCCAAATCCGCACACTCCGATCGCCCAATGTTTGACCGTGACCGCCGGCGCATTATTCAATACGTCGTCCCACTGCCTTGTGGGTCAGACTTTGGGTCAAAGTCTCAAGGTAGGGTTACCTCAACTAAACCCCCTTCTTCGGCCTGGGCAACCGGGAAGTACCATTTTCCTTTGCAGCTCTCCGCTCACCGGCCTTCCCCCTCATTCCCTCCCAACCTGCCGTACAGTGCAGTACAGTCAACCCATCTGCCAACCCCCCAGTCATGCTTTGACGGTTTGCATACATCGCCTACGGACTGAGCTGTACTAAGGACTATCCATTTGATACTTGCGAAGTTTCCCAGACCCGACTGACATCACCTACACCAACCAGGATCTCCAGTCTGAGGCACCGGTCAGCTCCTTGTTAATGAGAAGTTGGGCTGCTCCAATAGTTTCGTGTCAAGCAACGCTGCCTCACGGCCAGGTTTTTAAGCTGGGAGCCTCTATCATCCGGCTTTGCAGGTCTTGGATCCTCGACAGCCTCTAAGTCACGGAAAAAGATGAACTTCACAAATACATTTAACTTCGCCGACAGTAGCGTGCCATCGTCCCCCAGTTTGGGTTACTTTACGTGCTGAGCAATTCAGTAAAAAAAAACAGGCTATTGGTGGGTTACCTACGTGCTGAGCAATTCAGTAAAAAACAGGCTATTGGTGGTTCCTCTCATCTGGCTTCATCCTTATTTTGTAACCTTTCGCCCCTTCGTTTGACAACCACTCCCCTGCAGGTCTCAGCCGAAGGCGCATCAGGCTTTATCAGGTGCACGGTCTGCGAGTGGAAAAACTGAAATGAACATGCGCCAGAGGAAGTGACCAATAGCACGCCACAGCTCACACCCATCGGTTCGCGCCAACTTTTCAGGCCTCGTTTCCTCGTTCTCATCTCAGTCTTAGAGACCTTAGGCGAACCTACTGACAGGCTGCTATAGCAAAATCTCGTAATCGACAAGTATTTGACGTCCACTGTTGGACTCAAGTGCTGTAAACAGGCTTCCATCATCTACAGTTTCTAGGATAAACGAACCACGGAATACAGACTATTCTGAAACTATTACAGCGTTGAGGTATTTATTAGTTCCACGACCGGGACCTTATTGTTTGGTTCGTTCTTTGCAATGTGGTTGGACAAAGTGGCTGGAGCGCGAATTTACTGACCGGAAGGTCCGTGGTTCGAACCCGACCTCTGCCTCTCAACTTTCCCTGTCTAGGCTTGGGCGACCTGGCAGTATACCAGCCTTCGTGCTTCCTTCGTGTGGCATGGCGATTAGGCACCATAAGGATGTTACAGCTGAACGACATCTTTGTCTCTGCACCGGGAATGACGTTAGCCGCTTGATTGAACGATGTCTTCCAATTTTATCAACCATTGATGAGTCGATCCCCGGGGTCCTCGTAATGAGGGGCGGCAATTGTCAGCCCGAGTGATTTTACGGGTTAGTGCTGTCACGCTTCGTTGCCAGATCAAGGACTCCTCATCTGGGTCGTTTCGGCTCAGGACACAGTTAGAAAAATAGCTCTGCATTCGACGTGTGAAGAACATGTCCCAACGAGCGTTGTCTATGAAAAGTGATCAGCTGGTCCATTGCTGGGAAATTTCTCCTTCCTGAAACCATGTGGCACTCATCCTTGCCAGTCTCATGTTCTGAGCTCTAGATAGCTCAGTGGTTAAGGTGCGAAATTACTGGTCGGAAGGTCTGTGGTTCGTGGTACCTCGATTGTTCCTGTCGTCTATCACTTCCTCAGCTCTAGTTCTTCTGGTAGCGTGGCGACCAGGCACCGGAAGAGTTATGGTTGAACGATACGATCACCCGGTGCGGGTGTTCTGTTGTTTTGGAAAAACGATATCTCGGATTTCTGTCGATAATGTTGAGCTGGCGTCGATATTTCGTTCAGACTCGTTGAGCTCTTCCACATATTGTGTTGGAGGAGGCCAGCTGAACCTTTCTGTAAAGTGTTCAGGTCGTCACTCAAAGCGATTGTGTGAATGGATTTCCGCCCCATGTTTGCCTCGCTGCCTACAAACACTAAACAAGATAACACCTTTCTAAATCCACGATATCCTTTCTATATAGGAGTTTTAAAATCCGTACTCTATGGCAAATTGGCAAACAGGCAATGCTTGCTGAAACCTTGTACTCCCTTAAAATTGATATATGCTGTGTCTCCGAAACACGCCTACAAGACCCGAGCGTGGTTCTGCATCTCAGAAGACCAAGGAGGAACTCAGCGCTTTCACATTTCTCCCTCCATGTGTCCGGTTATCCAGAAGCGATGGCTCGTGAATTATATGGCGTGAGAGTTGCACTCAGCCCCAAGGCTGGATGTGCTTTGGTGAATTGGTTCCTAGTGAATGGTCGGCTTTGCGACGTCCGGTTATTGAGCTCAATCAAGCCCAATGCCTCTGCAAATGAAGAGCGGTGCTTGTTTGTTAGTGCCGGCTTATGTCCCAAAG